ATCATGAATATCGTGAATTATCATCAAGGATGTCATTATTATTTATTATTATGATTAATTTTATTATTAGTATTTCCATTCTTTCCATTGTATCGTCATTTGTCTTTTTTCTTGAATCTAAAAATGACATCTTATTTCCAAATGACTGCTATTTTTTCGCAATTAACAAGTTTTCCTAAATTTGTCTCGTTTTGTTAACGTTTCGTTGTCAGTGTTATATTGCGCTTGAATGAAAAGCTGACTTCAGGAGAGAAAGAGATTGTGGGCACGTTGACGGGTTTCGATGATTATGTGAACATGGTTCTTGAGGATGTTGTTGAGTACGAGAATACGGTAGATGGAAAACGGGTGACGAAGCTGGACACGATACTGCTGAATGGCAATCATATCACAATGCTCGTTCCTGGAGGCGAGGGCCCAGATGTTTGACTGTGCAGTATTCATTTGCAACCAAATGACTCTTCACTCATTGCAAAATGCAAATGTTCAGGGATGATTTTGTGCACAAGAACATACCTTATTGATTATTCGCTTGTCTTTACTTTTATCTATCAAGAACGATGGGAACGGCTTCTGGCTAGGGAATGAGGCGTTGTGTTTCCAGACAAATATTATCCAACACTGAATTCATCGATTGATGTAAAGCTGAATGCAGTCGAGAAGAGTGTTGTTGTCGCTTGTTATGATTTTTTTTTACTAAGAAATGTTAACTCATCACGAGGTTCCCATCGGTCTAGTGTGTTGTTGATTTATTGGTTGTATTCATGAGCGGTGTTTCGATGAATTGTTTCAGTAAAGCTATGTATCATTATCCTTTTCATGTGTTCGGTTTTCACCTCTGTGGTCTCATCGTCAGNTATTTTTCTTTTTGACTTTGCATATTTGCATATTTCATTGAATTTTTATTCGTTTTCAAGTGTGACGAGATATTACAGCAAATTTTCGTTGGAAGCAATAAAATAGTTTCGACGAAACCGAGAATGCTCCACTGCCTCATATAAAGTTTATTCATCAAAAAAGTATTTGAATTGCGATGAAGCAAGAATTCATAACATCTATCCATATATGCGATTTACAATAAGGAATTTTGGCACAAAAAAAATCTATACAAATGGCTGGAAGAATCAATCGGTTGATGGTGGCACAGAATACATCTCAGACTTCAACTGGAATCATTATCCGACGAGAATGCACTCATCGATTTTGTTCGTTCAATAAACACATTGTGCGACACATTAAGCAGAATATCATTTAATTATGCATGGTTTTTATGCATAGCGACAGCAACAGCAGCAGAATGGTGTCGTGCAAGCAGTTCGAAAGCTGTGAGCATATCAAACGTAAAGACGCTCGCATATCTTCGCTCGGAGATGTACGACTTTTTCAACGAACACATCAATTGAACTTGAATCGTTCTCGTGTGAAAAAGATCGACACAGAAATTTTCAATACATTGATGGAATAATTAAGAACGGCACTCGATTCGTGTACTGAAGCCAGCCATGTCCGTATTTAGCCAAACATCTGCAAGTGAAACAATGCAATTATTCCAGAAACACCACCAAGCAATTGCATTATTTCCAGTTCAGTTTGAGAATTCCGACTTAAATGAATGCTCAAATTCATTGACCGCCAGCCATTTGACAAGCAACTTGTAAACAACAAGTGTATTTTTTATTCGATCATTCAAGTGTGAATGAACATCTCATAAAACAAAAAGCGAGTAGGTGATTGAACAACTGATTGTATCAGAGGAATTCACCGTTGGCACTTCAGCACTGAACGCATAAATTAAATTTTGATGAGTGAAATGAAAAATGATTTGAGTCGCCACAAAAAATTCTTGATTTGAACATTTTTACGACGAACGATTACATTGAGCGAGTAGTCGTCAATTTATGAGTTGATAAAAATGACTTTGTGATGTGCATTTGATTTATGACGAGACTTTTAGCTTATGAAACGATAGATACGATGAAACCATTCTGTGGGGTTCGATTGATCTGAGCTGGGCAGAAAATTTCAAATAAAGATAAAAATTCATATGGAGTGGTTGATGAAGGATCAAGATCATTGTGGCTCTAAAGTAAGATGAGATAAATAAATCATGCATCAGCACCCACCTTGTCTCATCCTGAATCATCCTCATCCACAAGAATGCAGCGAGATAAATAAGAGGTACATAATGAAGGAATGTCGTGGATCCGCATAATATTGTCCATAACGCAAACGTTAACCATTCAAACGCATAATTCAAATGACGACTCAAACCCCACCATCCACTTCCTTCAAACAAACCATTCGTCCGTTTGAATGACTTAACAGGTAAAAAGCATGCTTTCTAGAATATGACTTCTTTTCATTCTAAAATATAACTTCTAAAAGCGGATCAAATCTACCAACCGAACATGCACAAATTTCCGATGAACAGAAAATTCTTCAGCTCATTAAAGTGAATTCTCGAATTTACTGACATCCAGTTGACAGGCAATTTGTAAACAACAAATGAACATCTCATCAAATCATTCAAGTGAACATCTCATAAAACGAAAAGCTTGTAGATGATTGAACAACTGATTGTATCAGAGAAATTCACCNATTCATCAACTCTTCAACACTGAATGCATAAATCAAATTTTGACGAGTGCAATAAAAATGATTAGATTCGCCGCATAAAACTCTCTTTCGATTTTAATGTCTTTACAACGAATAAGTTGAAAGCTTCTCTAAACGCATTTGAAATCTTATTATATCTTAGCACAAAACTGCAATTCAAATCGCAATCGAATCTGCCATAGTTTATATTAAGCTTTAAGCAATATCAACTAAATATCATTTCCGAACACTTCGTTATGGCCTTAAATTTGATCTTATTCTTAATGGACAGAGTCATTCGTGGTGAACGTAAAACAAAAGTTGAACGAACCAAGTAAAAGATTAGTGGTCACTTCACCGTTATCACGTTTATATTTGGCAGTGATAAAGAATGGATCTTTACCCCAAACTTTTACGTGACCATTCGCGTATCGAAACGAAAATCGTTGTGTGTCGATACTTGCCGTTATATAGATGGCACATAAACCAACAATAAACAGCAACAAACAAATTGGTAGAGGGATCGTCGATAACGATGCGTTCTTATGATTAGCCAACACCGTCACTGGGGTTAAGTAAAGAACTGGTAAGAAAACGAGAACACCCCAAATACGGTAGAATCCTGAAATCGTTCATGAGCAAATATCCTCGAAACAAATGAATAAGTGTGTATGTCTTTTGTTGTTCATTCAATCCGGCTTTGACGTTAGTGCTGTCCATAGCTTAATATGAGAATATCTATGATAAGAACATAGGTGAGCAAAGGTTGGGCCACAAAAACAATAGCTCTTCACAAGATCGGAACAATATGATGGTATGGTCCATCAGGGAAAATGAATTTCAAAGTATTTGATCGAACAACGTAGTGGTAAGTGGTGTGGTGAAATTCCGGAACTACTGATACTGTGGTTCAGCAACAACCAACCAGTTTTGTTCAGTTGTGCATCCAACTGACTGAAATGTAAATGCTCGAGCCAGTGTGTTTTAGCAATATATGTAAGTTGTAGCACTGAACATGCGATTAGGTTATCTGAAAGAATGTTCTCATATACATATATAATCATCTTTAAATGTTATTTTACTTATATCGTATTTTTGGAGACACTATCAAAATCGCTCGCAATATGAGTGTATTGTCCCGCTCAACAAATACTATTGCTCGTTACGAAGTGAAGTGAACCGAACCACTGAGTTTCTCGTGAACGGAATACGAGTGATACAATGATGAGATGATATACAGTGGATAAAGTGTTAACGCGATTCGGAAAGTAATAAAATGCTTCATGTCCATATCGAATAGCATCGGCGACAGCTCACATCCACAGAACAGAGCAGTTATTGGTTCAGCTGAAATTTCTTTTCACACTTCATTCGTCCTATTTCGGCAATTGCATTCTATTAAGTGTGAATATTCCGTCATCACTCAGTGAAATCACACGATTGCGTTCTCAGCTGTCAACTGACACAAATTTGAACGATATTCCAACAAAACATTCACGATTGACATTTCATGCGAATTCGATACTCTACAAACTTCTTAAAAAGAGAAAATCTCTAAAATATGTGAATCAAATCATGTGTGCTGCCATTCATCAGTAATCCCTCTTCCGTCACAACAACGCAATGTGAACGCATTTTCTATCATTTCAAATCTGCACTCGTCACGCTCTTACATGACTGAATCAATAATTTCGAAGAAATCTATCTCAAATTTAAAAAAAANAAAAAAAACTTACAGGAAAACGATTCGGTAAGTTGATATTTCAAATAGAGCAATACGGCGATCGCGATCGATAATAAATTGCATAACGCAAGAATTTCAGTCCAATTCGTATAAATCACTGATCCTTTGTAAAAACCCATTGTGATACCCATCAAATAAAATAAATTTATCAATAAACACGACCAAAAGCTGTTGATTCGACGCCACTCTCGTTCACCTCAAAGCAATTTGGCCGTTACTCTCTGTGTTTCTGGTCTCAATTTTGAATACATTCAAAAAAGTTCAAATCCATAACGCATTCTATCAAAGAAACATTGACTGACTGTCCAGCCGATTCATTCAATCTAGGGCAGTGGTTCTCATAGGAGGTGGAAATACTCATTTTGGGTGTGTCGAGGGGTAATGGAGGAGGTCGGGAAATTATTATTTCGTAGCTCGTCCGGGCCCAGCAGGGTTTTCATTCTTTTCCTTGCTGCTACAATCACTCTCATAGCTGTTGTCCCCAAAGGTGTTCTCTTTTGTTTATTTCTCATTCATTTCATTCAGCAATTAAAGTCAAATTCTCATTCTATCAAATACACTCTACAATTGATCATTTGACTGTCGAACGTTGTTGAGCAATAATATCTTATTGCTGCATTGGTGACTTCGGCTGTCAACACTCGTCAATGTATCGAGTAAACAGTATATGCTACAGAATGAGAAGTTGATTTGAACTGTGAAGTGAAATGAGACGAAATGAATGAGAAAAAGTCATGAAGAGAACGATATTCACATGGAATAGCTATGAGAGTGAATAGAACACGTCTGAAAAGAACGAGAATCCATCTAAAACGGTTCGAAGAGAGCNAAAGCTACTGTCATAATCATAACGACCTAGGACAGTGATTCTCATACGGAGTGAAAATACCCGTTTTCGGCAATTTGAGGGTGTCGGGGAGTGAGGGGGAGGGGTAATGGAGGGGATCGGGAAATTAGCATTTCGTGCAGTTATCAATTGTGATAAAACACCATTGTGATGGTGTATTTTTCGATCGGATATCGGAACGCAGCTCGCTCATGAAAACACTCCTCTTCATCCTATTTGCTGAATATCTCTAGCTCGCCCAGGTCTGAAGAAAACATGAAAAAGCACTTACCGGCGCTGTTCAGCGCAATAACGTTATCATAAGGTAAGATGAGTGAGAAAGTGATTTGAAGTAATACAATAAAAGTGATCACTTTCCATGCGATCGCATTTGTGGGTAATGGCATAACATCCAGAAAAGACAACTTTCCAACGAACAAATCAGATATCAACTGAAATCAATCATCCATCAATAGAACAACTATTCAAATCGGATAAACCAATTTGGATCACTTGAAATTAATGGATTTGAGCGCAGACTGTTCACAGTTCAGATTGTACACGTACGATAAAATCCCGAAAGTTTCGCAGTGACACTAAATGACCATGAATATTGCTTTTATGACTTCATAAAGGCGGAAATATTTGAGAAAATTTTTGGTATATTGCGAGTGAAAAGTTAGAAGATAATCGCATGAGGGATTTGTTTGCAAAATTTGTTTGAATGTTGGGTTTGCAGAATTGAATGTTGAATTCCAAATTTTTTTTACTATTTGCCAAACAAACCCTTTTCAGGGTTTGTTTGGCAAATAGTACAATTTTTTTGGCATTTGAAAACATTCCGAATCTCAGAGTATCTTATTTCCTCAACTTTGAGACATTTATGCATTTATTTGACCGGTCTTATTATTCATTTTTCTGGCAACGAATTTTTCTTTCGCATGGAAGCATTTTCTGAATGTGAAATGGGTATAGAAGGAGAAGATGCTCGAATGGCATTTTCAGCGTTTTCATTTGTGTAAATTGAGACACTTTAAACAGTTGAAGTCCTGCTCGTGCGAGTGCACTCTTAAATGCAGCTGATGTTCGCTATTCATCATGTTTGTCGTGTAACTAACCGAACATCAATGTTTAATGTGGTATTTACTTTTAGTCATTTCAGAGTTTGTTCGTTTGTTTTTTTTTTATCTCAAACACTCTTTGGGACATTTTGTGCACTTTAAGACTTCGAAACTGACGGGATCATTTGAGGACATCTTGCTGTGTGCCATTTTAAAATGAGAATCATTCCCATTCGTTCTTACAATTAGCATAAAAACTGATGACTGATAGATTCATCAACTGCAGCATACGAATTGAGACGGTAGGACGTTACATGCTGAATGCTCAATTATCCATGATTCAGAGAAACGATGGCTGTTGTGCTTAGAACATTCCTTCGAATTGCTTTGCACCGCTGTGAATGAAGTCCATTTCAAATTGGATCATATTTTGTGTTGATATTTTAGTTTTCAGAAGAAGCAACTTGTTGTTGTTCGAAATCACTGTAAGACGATACTTCAAGATAGTGATATCTTGAATATAATGCTTGATGAGATATCGACTAGCATGTGCTGTGAATGAAGTCAGATCAAATGATCACAATAAGACTCTTGCTGAGAAGGAGGAAATTCAAGAGCAAGACATGCCACTAGTGAAGTTGAAAGCGATAACAGCTATTGCAAGAACTCTGCACTCATCATAATAATGAGACTACACTCGCGAATGTCATGAACAGAAAAACAATCGTGAGAACATTTGACTGATTGAACGAGCAACGATCATTTTTGATTGTCACGTGACGTTGATTTTGAACGGTGCGTTGTGTATGCAATTGACGAAACCAAAGAGTAAAATTTCTGAAGGATAAAAGAAGTATTTCAACAATTCACTAACCTTTATTATGGAAGCATCATAGTAGCGGATTGCATAGTTGTACGAGAAAATGAATATTGGTGCGAGTATCGCAATACACACAATGGTACCACTGGAAAGATATTGTTTCGCCTGAATTGTTCGTTTTTCAGTTGATACTTTAAAAAGGTTCACAAAAAATATGTGCTTATTAACTCAGAACACTCTAAAAATTTGAAGAAAAAACAAAAGTTGCTTTGGCTTGAAAATGGTAATGTTCACATCATAAGTTACCGAGACTTTTGAAGAAAACAGTAAACGTGATTTGGAGAGAAACTCAATGTAGCACAAACTGAATCTAAAAAAATAAGTCACAAGAGTTAGAGTTCAGCATATTTACTTTTGAAATATTTTTTTAAAAACTATCTGTGTACAAGGAGGAGAAGATGTTTTCATTTTTTGCCCTCTCAATTGAAAAATTGCGAGGGCAAAAGAAGAATAAACGAACAAATCAGTCAGTTTTTTTGTGGAGCATTGAAAACACCTGACTGATCGCTCAAAATTCGATGTGAATTATTTTTACATTGCGATAATTTATTATTGTGAAATCCGTTTTAATTATTGTTTCAATGCGTAGAAAAAAAACCGCCCACTGAGCAGGTAGGTATTTTCTGTTCGATGAAATATGCGATGAAGTGCTCAGAGTGGGAGCGGATTCTATGAATATGATACAGGCATTGATTTGCTCTCAAATCTGACTTAACTCCTGGCATGCACATGAAATAGTTATAATTGCTTAATAAGGTACAAGCGAAGAGAAATATCAACTAACAAAATCGCTTGTTGGTTGATATTTCTCTTATTACAAACTTTTACTCGTCGATACAATTGAAATGAGCAAAGAGACTGAGGAAAACTATGACCTAAAGCAAGTAATTGAGTCGATGAGATGATCAATTCTTAAAATTGATCACCTCACTGTCACTGATTTGAAAGGTGACAGATGATCGCACCTCAGCATTTTGAAACGGTTCAAGAGACACTTGTTGTTCACCTCTCTATCAATGCATCAAAGACTAGCAATTGCGCAACTTTAGGTAGCAGATGTCACAATGTGAGGCTTAAGCTTTTGGTTTTGTACAAATCACTTCGACATAAATTTTACGAGGTAATTTCGTAGTAGTACATCAATGTCATTTTTTCTGGTTTTACACAGAGTTATTTTTATGATACAAAAAGATATATTTGAACGCAATATACGAAGTGCGTACGCTCGACTCAATTCACTACGTCTCATATTCATGCGGTAAATCCATCAGCACTGAAAAGGTATACGCGCTTCTGAGTGATTATTTCGGCACTCAAATATCGTTCATCACTCAATTTCAAAGGCAAGCAGTCACCAATAGATTTGCTTGTCAGAAGTCTGCGAATATTACTGCACGATTCATAGTAAGCAAAAATTGTAAAATTTTGCACGTACCCTAGAAATGGAAACATGTTTTCGATGAACAAAGATGATGCCGAAAAGAAACCAGCGAATTTACGTGGTTGGTCAGCTCGACAAAAAATGTTTGGAGGTAAAT